CCGACGTAAGCAATCATGAAGAGTGCATATAACTTGTAATCGAAAACATGAAAGCATTACACTGCAAAATATCGAATGCAGCTGTACGACTTTCTGTAGATATATTGAGTTACTTTTGCTATCTCAAACTTCTGTCATACCTGCTGACATAACAGAATGCGTGTGGCCTACAATTGTGTTTTGTATGCAGTTCTAAACATATACATTACTGTTCCCCGCAGCTGTACAGGCTCGATTTTTTTTTCTTTTTTTATTTTAAGAGTTTCCTCTTGTCGGTGCAACTAATTCATGCATTTTTTCCAGCCAGCTCTATCCCATGCCATATCTTTGACCTCCCTATACGACATGACACCTAGTGCTTCCTTTATCTGTCCCATGTAGTCATTCATCGGTTTTCCCTTCTTCTTTTGCCCTCTATTTTTTCTTCCACTATGCTCTTTAAAAATCGTCATGTCGTATAAGGTGACCCAGCATTTTACCTCTTCTAATTTCTATTGTTTTTAATACGTACATATAAATATAGTATAATAACATACAAAAATATTTAAAAAATAATAGATTAGCAAACAGTTACTTTAGAACTGTATATCCGTCTAATATTTTTTCACACCTAAACCTCTGAACCAATTTTCATGAATTTTTATATGGATATAGATTAGATCTTAATAAAGGATATAGGATATTTTTTCTCACGAAAATAGAACTTGAAAGGAGTGAAACCCAAATCATAAGCTTTCTTTTAATGTATTACTAGAATCGCATTCGATTATTCTAACACTTCCCTAAGGTTGACTGGGAGAGAATGATTTTATCATTAAATCCGTCTTATACAAATACATGTACTTATTAATAAATAAATAAATAAAATAGTGAGAGTCAACCCTAAATAGAAGACAAAATGATTGTCCTTGTCCCAAGTAGTCAACATAGTCAAGATTGGTCGATGGTTTCCGAGAAAACCTCATCCAATGTCGGCTGAAGTAATGACTTTTGTGATAGAAAAATAACCACAGGTAATAATAGCTTTTATTCATAGATCGGTGTAGACGATTTATTTTTTCACATTTCCTGTGTTCATTTTTATTTTTAAGGTAGTCACTAATCAAACTTAGACAATAAATACTAGATGGCGCTGGTGACGAGTCTTGTAATTTTTGTTGATTATTCTGTAATTAAATTAAAGATAGTTTGATGTAAAATTTCTAAATTGTCGAATGATCCTTTACAAAAATCTAAATCTTTTTTTATGCAGCTTAGAATGGTTATCCAATATATAATATAGAAATGAAGTATCAGATCGAAATAAATGTGGATATCTAATTATTATGGACGATATTGAAATAGGTGATGAATATTTGTCCGTTACTAATGTTATTAATTTTCACCAGAGGGCGACTTTGTACAAAAGTTAATTGCTTGGGTATGTCTGTCCCATTCGTGTTTCTACCGTGAAGCAGTTGTGTTTGCATGGCTGTGTTTCGGTTTGAAGGGAGAGATATGACGTAAATTTACAGGGTACAGAGGAATAACACCTGAGTCCTCAGGAATGGCAACGCATGGGGGGTATCATGGGCGAAACAGTATACTCTGTTATGTCCATGGTACTGTTCATATCTATAGGCGACGGTTACCACTTTTCATCAGGTGGGCCGTCAGCTTGTTTGCCATTCTAAGTTGCATAAAAACAGAAAGTTCAAACGAACCCAATATACTCGTATAGATATTAGAGCGGTATTGTTATTATCCATGTCTACTGAACACGTTCTAAATTAAAAAAAAAATTAAATCTAAATTACCATCTCGTTTTCCAACAGTTTTCCATATTAATTGTTTAAAAAAAAAATACTGAAATGAATAGACGAAATTTGTAAACTTTATTAGATTGAATTACAATAGCTCGGTTCATGACGTGACATAAATGTATATAAATCAATCTTTTTTTTTACGTAACTTAGAATGGCAAATAAGCTGACGGCCCACCTGATGGAAAGTGATAACTGTCGCCTATAGACATGAGCAGTAATATTTGTATAAAAAAGCAAACTGCTTCTTTGTACACATATTAAAAATACTTAGTTTAGTTTAGTTTAGTTAGTGACATCGAATAATAAAAAAGATAATTTTTATAATGAACAAAATAAAAATACGTAATAACATTTATTGCTAATTTCCTACTAGGTGTTGTGTCAGTTATTGTAGTTAAAAAATGAATAGGTGTGGCGCATAATTAAAACGTTAATGTTCCAAACTCAACTAAATGTTGCCAACATAAATAAAATGGAGGGGCGTTCTTTGAATAATTAAAAGCAAATAAATGTGATTATGTTTTTATATATTGGAGCATCCTTTTACATCGCTCCCATAACGAATTCGTACGAACTCCGCCCATTTTATACCTGTTTTAGAATTAGTAATTTTATGAATTTGTAATTTAAATTGGATCTTCACATCAAAAGAAGGAGGTACTGAATTTGTCTGTATATTTTTATGTATGTTACGAGAAGTGTTTGCCAATTTTTATACTGTTTTTGGAATATTATATAATTGAGCGAGCATGTAAAAGAATTGAAATGTTATCTGATCTACATTATTTCACGTTTCATTACGTATATACGTTTAAATTCCATAATGTCTGACGCAGGCACCCTTTGTAGTTCTCAGAATTATCAATTATTCTTACCTTGTCAGAGTTCTACCGTACATTAAAAAAATATGAAAAAATAAAAGTAAAATAAGATAATATAGATGGAAATTTATTATTATAATTTATTATTATTTTTATGTTATATTTAATATTTATTAAAGATATGAAATCTGTTTATAGAATAATTTATTTCCTATTTCGTCACACTTATATAAAATAAGAGCAGAAATTTATAAAAATAATATAATTTGTTTCTTTTTTTTTTGTCAATGTTACTACTTAAAGGTTGTCTGGAGGAGATTGCTTAGCGATAACGCCTTTTTTGTATCACTTCTTATTAAAATTAACTGTATTTATTATATTATATATTTATATATTATTACATATTATATATATATATATATATATATATATATATATATATATATATATATATATATATATATATATATATATATATATATATATATAATGTGTGTAAAAGATTTATTACAATTTAACATTAAAAAAATCGAAAATTAATAATTTTGTAATACTGTAAATAAGAAAATAAAGTGTAAGATTCTAATAATAAACTTCTAGGTTCATCTTTATCAAAATTTATTTACTGACTATTTAATTATCTATTTTCTCTCACTTCCACGAAATAAGGGTTAATAAAAGTGAAATAAAACGTATTCAAAAAAAAAAATTACTCGTCAGTTCTAAAATTTAATATTGAAAAAGAAAACTAAAAATAAACGAAGTAGCAACGCTCAAAATGTGAAAATAAGGTACATGACACAATAATGGTAAAACATTCAAGGGTATCAAAATCTGTTTACAAAATAACTTATTCCCTATTTCGTCACACTTCCACGAAATAAGGGTTTAAGATCAATAAAAATTATATAAAAACAAAAAATAACACAGTAGCCCTACCACCTGTTGGCCGGCGGCCCTTTCCCATGCCCTGATCGAAACCCGTTTAAGAAAAAAAAAGCCACAAAAAAATAAATTGGGCCGCAGGTTGGATGGATAATGATTATTTTGTTCCCAATTTTTGATGGTCACAGGTGCGATTGGATAAAAAAATGGTACGGATTTTGTTCCTTTTTACGGTGTTCTTGTTACGAAACTTGATTGTATTGCACGTTAAAATTATATATTTCTATCTATACTGCAACCTTGTATAAGCAAATACCGTGTAAGACGACCCTCTTTATGGAATAACGACCTCAAATGCATTGCATAATTTTATTTTATCCTAAATACCTATGTGTAAATTTAAGTTGTTTGTGAGGAGACATAAATAAATAAATATATTATTATTATATTATATTATTATTGCAGAAAATAAATGGATGCATCTGGCTCAGGATTGTTCTATATGGTAGTCTATGGGGGAGAATATATAGATGGAAGTTTGTTACTCTTTCACGCAAAAACTACTGAACGGATTTGTATGAAATTTGGTGCACGAATAAGTTATATCCAAACTCAACATATAGAATATTTTATATACGGATTCAAGTGGGTGAAGATACAGAATATACCTAATATATTTTCATATCTCCGGTTAGCAGAGAAAAACGTGTACCTATTCTTTTATGCTTTTTTTTTACATACATTCACATTTATGACCTGTATGATATTTATTTCGAAGACTTGTTTTCTTTTTCAGATAGAACAGAATTCGTCTAAGTATAATAGGTTAATCTTAGCTTCCCCCGCTACTTGTATCCCCCCCCCCTCCTTTCGCGTTTTATATCCGTTTTATTCTTTTTTTTTTACCTTTCCTCCACATCATTACCACATGTCTGTACTAAAATAGTCATTTGACATTTTAAATTATACTTCTTATACTACAAGCTAATATATAATACTTTAAATAAGCAATCCATTAACGTCCCACTATTGGGCTTTGCTGATAAGAATAGAATACTTACTAGTACCAAATTTGCAAAAATATTTTCTCCAAATTTTCCTCGACCGAAAATCGAATTTGGTATTTCATTTATGTGAATTACCAACTACAAGATATACAATATTTTATAATATTTTTAAGATAACCATAATATTTTATACTTACTTCACTTTTATTTAGAAGAAAACTACTTGAAATATATTTTTTCGGGTCAGTGGATACCCTTAGGGTTTGATTACTATATTTAGAAATGTTAATTAAACAAACTCAACATATAGGTTACCTTATATATTGATTCTGACTCATATTAGTGAAGCTGCTGAATATAGTAAATCGATTTATATATTTTTATATCTCAGATTAGCAGAAAAAAATGTTATAAAACACTTATACATATAGTAATTATAAATACACAAATAATAACAATAGTTGATTTCAAATGAAACTCACCATTAAAAATCTAAGCAAAAATCCATATAAAAAAGTTCAGTTACACTAAAATATCAGCACTAAGCTTAAAGTATAATAAAAAAAAATTACATATGTCTATTTCACGAAAAAAAAAATAAAAAATTATTTCAAATTCAATTTCCGAATGACTAAAAACGTTTACGATATTAAAAAAAAATCTTGTCAAAGGTTATTTTGCAATAAAATTCCGATGCACTAAAAGTCATATTTAAAAAAAAATAATTAAAAACTACGAAGAGCGTTCCCGGTATTCGATATTTGAATTGTATTGATCAGAATGCGCGCGTTTGTCGTCCGCGAGGCGTGAAGCCTGGCAGGTTACTGTCGGCCGAACACATTTTCCCGCCCAACGGTAGAAAGTAGAATTCGATAATATCCAAATATAGTAGTCATTTTAATACCTTTATGTCAATCACAGACTTGTCAAAAGGAATTTTAAGATATTTTTACCTGATTATCGCGAAACAAAAAGGAGAGTTATGCATGTTTTTTGTTCCCTCATATCTTTTAAATTACTAATTTTTTTGAGAGACTTGAAAGCAATTAAAAGTAAATTCACTGCTAATATTTATATTTATTTATATATAAAGGATAAAAGGATTTTATATATATATATATATATATATATATAATTTCGAAATTTTACTAACAAATAATATGTCACCAGTACCGTAGTAATCACCAGTAAGTATGTACGTAGCTATATCATACGAATGATATGAACTTACGAGGTTTGTCCGGAAAGTACGTATAAAAGTTTTTAAAAATTTTATTTTACAATTATTCAGGTAAATCAATTTTATCCCCTTCAAAGTACTCCCCCTGTGACATAATGCACTTGTGCCAACGCCGTTTCCACTGTGAGAAGGCTCCTTGAAAGTCCTCTGATTGTAGGTTTCTCAGCTGCCCCGTCGTAGCTTTTTTTATCTCATTTATGTCCCCCAAATGCCGCCCCCGAAGTACCAATTTGGTTTTTGGGAACAAGAAGAAGTCACACGGGGCCAAATCCGGCGAATAGGGGGTGTTCGGTCACCGTAATGGAACTCTTCGTGATTTTTGATCCGGGGACAAAAGCTTGGGAACGATCTTGGCGCAAATTTTTTTTTCATTTGAAGTTCGTTTCTTAGAATTTCGTGGACCACGGTTTTGCCCAAATTAAGCTCTTCAGCCACCTGTCTGACCGTTAAACGACGGTCCCCATTAACACAAGTTCGAATTCTTTCCACGTTTTCGTCGGAATGTGAAGTGGAAGGACGTCCTGAACGTGGGTCATCTTGAACGCTTTCTCGGCCCTCTCTGAATCTTTTTAGCCACTTGTGGACGGTTGGTTCCTTCACAGCATCATCCCCATAAACTGTTCTGAGATCGGCAAAAATTTCACGGCCATTCTTGCCGAGTTTCGAGAGAAACTTGATTACGACGCGCTGCTCTTCAACGGAAGCGGGCTCCATGCCGACGGGGTTTCGTTAAGAGGTAACTTCACAGATGGCGTGACAAGCCAGTTCGCACCGCACGGCGGTCAGACCAGAACTGAAGCATTGTTAGGGACATAAGGAAGGGGTCCTGCGCTTACCTGGCCTCCCCACTCCTCTTTCTCGCATTCCAGAACACTTTTATACGAACTTTCCGGACCAGACCTCGTATAATCATAATGATGCCTAATGGTCCATTTGCTGATAAACTTGTCAATTGTCAAACGTAAATGACAAAATGTCAAAACATTGATAGACATACTGTCATGACCCCCAGGGAATGATTCTAAGTACAAAAGTCGATTATAGCCAGGGACGTAATAAGGATAAGTATATCTTTTTAAAAGAAGATTTTTTTTATTCAACTTAGAATGGCAAACAAGCTGACGGCCCACCTGATGGAAAGTGGTAACCGTCGCCTATAGACATGAGCAGTAGCATGGACATAACAGAGTATACTGTTTCGCCCATGATACCCCCCATGCGTTGCCATTCCTGAGGACTCAGGTGTTATTCCTCTGTACACTGTAAATTCACGCCATATCCCACGCTTCAAACCGAAACACAGCCATGCAAACACAACTGCTTCACGGTTGAAACACGAAACACAGTAAAGTGTTACAAACAAACAGACAAAGAAGATAATGTATTTGACAGCAAATGGTTATGAAATCTATTTAATAATACTTACGTTTCATAATTGATAACAAATAAATTACCTTATAAACATTCATACTGAATTTATCTGTTAATTCCGATTATTAATATGTATGTTATGTCTATATATATCTGTATATACTGTCTGTATGGTATGGTATGGTATGGTCCGAAGCCTAATTGCAAATACCAATCTACCTGCCAAGCATGGCAACTACTGACAAAACCCGCCAAAAGGGAGGCTTATATTCAGCAGTGGACAGTTAAAAGCTGGTATAATGATAATTAATATTTCCATTGGCCGTGTGGTCCGGCATAGAATGGGCCACCCTTTCCTTCCTCATAAATGGCGTAAGAGGCAATTAACGGATCAAAATAGTCGAGAAATAGACAGCAATATTGGTTTTAAAACATCACCAAAGCCTAACTGCGGTTGCCAACCTGCCTGCTAAGTATAGCAACTACAGGAAAAACTCCATAACTCAAAAAAGTGGACAGTTAACGGCTGATATCATCAATATACTCATCGGGTCGACCTCCATGCAGTCCCATGTATGCATTTGCATATTAATTCTTACGGAAAAAATCCCGTGTCTTCCGCGCGATTGCAAGACAGATTAAACCAATGCAAACGTTGACATTTCTGTATGAAGGCTCTTAAAAAGTATTTAAAACGTAATATAAAAATTCTTTACCATATTTTAAGGAAAACTCCGCAGCTCGTTAGCCGTGATTAATTACGTTGGAGTAAAAAAAATTTCACTTGATACGAAACATGCTTTACGTTCTTCAATCGCGGAACATTTTAATGGACCTTAATAATGAATTTATATACTTCCTATTAATATCAATAATTTTACCAGAGGGAGACTTTGTACAAAAGTCGTTTGCTTGGGTACCTCTGTCCCATTCGTGTTTCAACCATGAAGCAGTTGTGTTTGCATGGCTGTGTTTCGGTTTGAAGGGTGGGATATGGCGTGAATTTACAGGGTACAGAGGAATAACACCTGAGTCCTCAGGAATGGCAACGCATGGGGGTATCATGGGCGAATCAGTACACTCTGTTATGTCCACGGTACTGCTCATGTCTATAGGCGACGGTTACCACTTTCCATCAGGTGGGCCGTCAGCTTGTTTGCCATTCTAAGTCGTATAAAAAAAATCAATAAACTAGCCGTGTCCTATGGTTTTGCTCGCTTGTATTAAAATAAAAAATCCTAAGTTTTAATCCAGAATATAGTCTATCCATATAGCAAAATTTGCCGTGTGGTCCTGGCAATGACAAGGCCACCTCTTCCTCTTCCGTGAATGTCGTAAGAAGCGACTAAAGGAACTTAATCGTCAAGGGATGAGCGACAGCGTCCTTCTTAACATGTCTTTAAGACCTAACTACGGTTGCCAAACCGCCTGCCAAGCGTGGCATCTACTGGTAAAACCCCCAATAGAGGGAGGCCTAAGTTTAGCAATGGACACTTAACGGTACAGTATATAGCAAATTACATTTAAAGCCATTCATTCCTTTATGATCGAGTAACAAGCATTATGTGGGGGGGAAAGGAATTGTTAGTAATGGAGACTGAGAATCCCATTGCTAGCAATATAGCCAACCAGGTCGACCTCCTCGCGGTTCCCCCTGGAAACTATCATGGTTAATTCCTGATGAATTCATCATGATGGGCTAACTAGCCTGTTTTCATTGCCGCGCCTGCGTATCCCGTTAGCGAAGGGATACGCTGTTCCCATTCCATTGTCATCCAAAAAAAAGCATTACGTGAGTTTGTAAAGTTGGATGTATTTTTATGCTTTACACGATATCTTCATAATTTTAATCGATTTATTTGTTTCTTTTTGAAATATATAGAGATTACTTCCATGTTGATTACACTCTATTTGGCAAGATTTAGTTATAAAGAATATTAAAAAGTTTAACATTATTTTATTTAAATTAAGATGATTTTTTTTTACATTTAAAAGTACATTAAAAAAAAAACTTCGAAAAAAAAATAGAGCACAGTATTTTATGGAACTTTCAATAGCAAACAAGATGTCAAAATTAAAAAAGGAAAATCGTAACCGGAGCCTATAAATACAACTATGAACAACATAGTGGGCAGCACAGTATACACTGTGACGCACATTTCAACTTTTATTTTATTTATTTCTTTTCAAATGGCACTTTTTACGGGTTGCTGGGAATTATTGTTTTATATATACCTTAAAAAATTCACTACCATATTAAACCCTTCAAACCGAAACGGCCATGCAAATACATCCTCTTATAGGCAAGAAAACATATGGGACAATGGTACCCAACCAGACTATTTTTAAAGGCACAATAATCATAGTCCAAATAGACAAAAACGCTGGAAAATAGCTATTATTAGTAAGAAACCCTTCGGCACCTCGACACGTAAGAACAGACCATGACAATCTTTTATTTTCTTGAAGATCCATTCTTCAATGTTGCAATAACAAGAATCAAGTTGTCTCTTTCTGGCCGCTACAAATAATTTACCTGTATCTCTTTCTACCTTGTCACCCGCTGATCTAACTTTTGATTCGATACAGGTGCATATATAGTATATCCTCAAGTTTCAGATTATTTTAAATTAATAAATAAACATTTCAGCACAGATAAATATATAAAATTTAAAAAATATAAGTATACGTTGTTTTCTTTTTATCTTTTAAGCGGCTTCAGGGTTTTTTATTCAGTATTTTTTTTTTTAATTTAAAACTCATAAATGTAAAGAAGAAGAAATGAGGAGTACTACAAATTTAAAAACCTTTTATATAGCGATTGATATCAAGATCTGGAACTGATCATTTTCTCAAAGAAATATGGATTAAATAACAATAAAATTGTTTTCGAAATCTCTCCCATATAAACTTAATACTTAGATGCACCATTTTATTATGGAGTGTACACTAAAAAGTAAGTAGAAGTAATTATTTATAGTTCCATAAATTCATTATGAATTCTTACTATTATTATAAATGTAAAAGTGACTTAATTTATTATCTCTTAACGACATAACCAATCGCTATGAAACTTTTCATACACATACTTTATGGGATTGGGAAGAACAGAGGCTACTTTTTACCTCAATACATCTACATATCTCGATAAAACGGACAAAGTCGCAGGTAAAAGCTAGTAATAAATTATACATAATTGTAATCCATTACAGAAATTATAACCGTATTTCTTATGATGTAAGCCATATCACAAGAAACAATATAAAAGAGGTATAACAAATCTTGATCCGAACTTATTTTTATTCGT